GTAGGATCGGAATTACCAGAAGACCCAACTGTTCTGAAGGAACTTTTTCAAAAAATGGCCGGATGTCCACCTTTTTTTTTTGAAATCACTATTCACGCCGGAAAAATAAAAAAGTTGTCGGAATTTGGTGTAACCTGGATAGGTAGGCTCGGAATTGCAAGGGAAACAATCTGTCCTGAAGAGTCGTCGCCAAAAAAATGGCCGGAAGGTGACCCACGCAACGTTGGAACTTCGCCGCAAAATTTTCTTTGGACAGCTACAGTACCGCCGGAGATTTTCACTGGGATTTAGTCGCCGGACAGTGACTACTCTTGTGGTAGTGTTGGATTTTGTGCACAACACTGACCGAGACAAAGCAGACACAAAACAACTTTGAAAGTCGCCGGAAAAAAGGGTTCCGGTGACTGATTTTACTTCCCGGAATCGCTGGAATTTATGCACATCGATAAATCTCTCACGATAGCTCTGATACCATGTGAGAAGACACGAGAGAAAATATGATATATATTGTGTGTGATGCAATACAAGAGGTGCTATTTATAGCTACTCTATACAAAGGGGATACTACTCCTATTCCAATGTGGGACAATTACATAGCTATCTCTAACAATATTCAAATTTAGACCTTTCTGTTATTTTGAGAAGCTACAACACTGTCTCTTAGATAATTAGAATCATCAGTACCTTTTTTTATAAGTATTAGAACAATCAGATACCATAATCATAGAGCACTAGTTTTCTCTTAATCTATCTTTATAGCCACTACTACTTCAATGTAAGTTCTAAATCTCAAGGGTCAAGAATGCTATGACGTCATTGCGTAAATATACGTATATCTTGGTGTTGGTAATAGCTTACCTGTTGTATCACAGCATCCCGATAAAATCTGTAACAATGGAGCTGCATTGCTATTCTATCAAGTTGCAGGCAGTAGATCCTACCATAACTGCGAATTAACAGGGAAACATATCTTAATTTAGGTGAAAAATCTACTTAATGAAGAAGATTAGTTGAAAGATCTCTCTTAAGGAAAGAAAACAGGAAAAGCTCTTACACTGTGACGATATGAATGTCTTCTGTGGCAAGGACAGGCTTATTATTTGCGTCAGATTTTGCCATTGCCATGTCAAACCTTGGCAGTCGGACTATTCCCACTGATGAAATCTATAAAACAGAATCAAAACTAATGTTAAACTATCAAAATCAAAAGGATTTTCATGATGAATCACACATCTCACGAATTCTGAACACAAAGGATTTCATCTATTTTAATCATACAAGGCATAATAGGACAAATGATATGCCGAGTAAATGAAAAGATCTCACTTCTAAAAAAGAATTCAGCGACAAGCGGGCTTATCATAAAATCTGAATAACCAGTAATGATCCTGAAAGGTGAAGACATGGATATTTCTTCCTTGGAGAACAGATAGTGCTTTCCTACCAGTGAAGCTTCATATACTTCAGCTCTGAAGCTTAAGCTTGAAACCACCAATCATGAGAAACCTTAAAGACTAGGATGGTAAACTATTCAACCCCACTATAATTTGGATCTAGAGAATATTAAACCAACCAAAGCAACAAAAAAAACTCTGTTTATGTTTACTATCAAGAGCCTTTTTAACTGTTGCTTCATTTTATTTATCATGTATCGTCAACAATCATGCTTCTGCAGAAGTGATGTAAGGTATTTTCATCCCAACAATCTAGAGATCTAAACAGAAAAGGCACGAAAGACTATAAATAAACCTGATATCCTGTAAAGCTCTTGCACTGCATTCCCGAGGCAAGGAGCACCAATCTACTCTCATGAGTATAGACATACCAGCTCACATTCAATTTCTTAGTCTCTACCAATTGAAGCGCTCTTGATTCAAAATTGCATGAGAATAACTCCAGTCCGCTGCAGTTGCAATCTAGATCAGAGATGTATGCCAATAATGTTGAAAATGTTCAAAATCATATATATTTTACTAATTTAAGCAAAGCTTGTTTGGAATTGAGACGTGGTAATAATTGTTTTTTTTTTTGATGAAGTGAGATGTTTCATTGATGGCATCCAGAAGATGCAGAGATACAAAATAGGCCATTGTTAGCTCCATTACAATGTGTTTCCCGTCAAAGAGCTAACAAAAAATCAAAAGAATAAAAGTATGGCCTAAGTCAAAGTAAGTGAACTGATAAAATCTAAATAGGAGGCAACATTATTTACAGGGGTTAGGTTGCTCCAACTAAAAAGGTACACTAGACCTTTAGCTTTCAAAAAATGGGAAGGAGTTGAAACTCCATCAAAACATCTGTGATTCCTCTCTGTCCAAAGAACCAAAAAGATGCAAGGAGGGATCATCTTTCAGATTTTTCTGATGGCTTTGTCAACTTTCCACTTGTTCCACCCTTCAACTGCTTCCTTAATGCCCTGAGGTAGGGTCCAGCTTATTCCCATAATGGAAAAAAACATAGACCACATGGAAGTGGCTACTGGGCAGTGAAGAAGAAGGTGGTTAATAGACTCTGAGTTTTGTTGGCACATGTAGCATCTATTAGCTAGTTGGAAACTCCTTCTACAGAGGTTATCTTGTGTGAGACAAGCTCCCTTTAGAGTTGTCCATGAGTAGCAGATGACTTTTGTGGGCACTTTTGTTTTCCAAATCAGTTTCCAGGGCCAGAAATCAATGATTTCATTCTGCTCACAGAGGTGTTTGTAGCCTGCCTTCACAGTGTAAGAGCCTGATTCAGAGTTACCCCACCTGAGTCTGTCTGATGCTTGTTCATTCATGAAGAAGTTCCCAAGTCTTCCATACAGTTCCAGAAGACTTTCTAGTTCCCAATCCTGCATGTTCCTTCTAAATAGGAGGTCCCAGGAACCTTCTAATCTGTTTTGAACTATTGTTGAGTCTGGAGCATTGGCTATTTGATATAGGGATGGATAGCTGTCTTTCAGGGTGCTTGTGTCTAACCATTTATCCTTCCAGAACTTGACATGTAACCATTTCCAGTCTTGAATGATATGTTCTGGGAGAATTCCTCCCACAGGATGCTGATGTGCTTCCAAGGGCCTACTCCATGAGGTGCTATGTTGTGTTTAGTGCACCAGTGGGACTGTTGTCCATGTTTGGCAGCAACCACCTCCTTCCATAAGCTAGAGCTTTCATCTCCAAATCTCCCTAGCCTTTTCATTAGCATGCTCTTGTTGTGCTTTGCTAGGTCTCTGATTCCGAGTCCACCCTGGGATCTTGGTTGTATTACCCTGGACCATTTGACAAGGTGGAACTTATGATCTTCAGAGTTACCTTTCCATAGAAAGGTTCTTCTAACTTTGTCTAGTTGTTTTAGGACCTTACTAGGCATAGGAAAGAGTGACATGCAATAGGACGAAATGCTGTCCAAGACACTATTTATCAAGGTCAATCTGCCACCCATTGAGATGTATTGTAGCTACCATGTTGCCAGTCTTTTTTCTACCTTTTCAATGACTCCATTCCACACATCGGCTGATTTGTATCTAGCCAAGGGGAGGCCCAAGTAAGTAGTTGGAAAGGTACCAGTATCACAGCATAATATATCAGCCAAAGCTTCCAAATCAGGGACTTCATCGACGGGGTATATTACATACTTTAACATATTGATATGTAGGCTTTTGAAGAATTTCCAACACTGAACCCTTCTATCCATTGTAGCTGCTTTGCTTTATCTAGCATCTGACTGAGTCCTTCCATGGCTAGAATGAAGAGGAAGGGAGATAAGGGATCTCCTTGTCTTAACCCTTTTTGTGGAGAGAAAAAGCCGACCTGGCTTCTGTTAATAAGAACTGAGAATTTGACCGTTGTTATGCAGTATTTTATCCACTTAATCCATCTGTGCCCAAACCCCATTTTTCTAAGCATTGATAGTAGATAAGACCAGCTGACTTTGTCAAAGGCCTTCTCTATATCCAACTTACATAGTATGCCTGGAATTCCACTCTTCAATCTGGCATCCAACATCTCATTGGCTATTAAGGCTGCATCAGTGATTTGTCTGTGTTTGATGAATGCATTTTGCACTCCTGATATGAGTTTCCCTATCACTAATTTGATCCTTTCTGCTAGTAACTTGGCTGCTATCTTGTAGACACTGCCTATAAGACTTATAGGCCTGAAAAGTCTTTGAGTTCTAAGGCTCCTTTCCTTTTAGGGACTAGAGCTATGAAAGAGGCATTGTAGGATCCGACCATGTAGCAATTTTGATGGAAGTGGTTTAAGGCCCCCATTATGTCATGCTTGATTATGTCCCAGGTACCTTGGAAGAATGCCATAGTGTATCCGTCAGGTCCAGGAGCTTTGTATGGTGCACATGATTTGATACTAGCTAGAACTTCCTCTTCTTCAAATGGCCTTTCTAGCCAGTCCTTTTCATCACTGGAGATAGATCCCAGATTACCAAAATCAGCAGTAGGCCTCCATTGCTCCTCTTCCGTGTATAGACCCTGGTAGAAAATGAGTATTTCTTCCTTGATTGCATCTTTGTCTTCTATCACCGCATCACCAATCAACAATTTATCTATAAAGTTGGATCTCCTATTGGAATTTTCCATTCTTTGAAAGTACTTGGTAGTCCTATCACCTTTTTTGAGCCAAAGACACCTAGACTTCTACCTCCAAGATAACTCTTCCTCCTTTGGTTATATTGTTGTTATTGAATAGCAATGCTTATATGATATAATGGCGCAATATACGATATAATTGTAATGCTTATAAGCAGAAGGTTTGAAATCTATAAGCATAAGGGAAAATGTCAAAATTTGCTCCTATACTATCCGAAATTGCTCAATTTTCCACCCACCATACTTTGGCCCATTCATACAGTTGTTGTTAGCAAAATAGTCTCGTACTGAGTGGACTCCACGAATTGAAATCTTCCAAGAAAAAGGTCCAAAATTACCGACTTGACTATGGTTTAAAATTACCATCTGCTTGGAGCTCCATTAGGGGTCAAGAACAAAAATGAGCCCTTTTCCTAATGGCCAGGGTAATATGAGACCAAAAGCTAATGGAAGACAAAGTTGTTCAATCTCGGATAGTACAGGGTAAATTTGACCCTTTTCCCTAAGTAGAAAGCATTCTACTTTGCAGAAACTTTATCTCTGAGAAACCTTTTTTCTCACTTAACCGTAACACTACAAAATTACCAATACCTTGTCCACAGGAGAATCAAATATAATACAAAAAAACTTTTCAGTAACTATCTACCAAAATGCTCACGTGGACAAAGATTTTTAAAGAGGAAAAAGGGCAGCCTAGTGCAAACGTTCACGCAGGGTCCAGAAAAGGGCCGCACCCTAGGGAGTGTGATGTAGCCAGCTTATCTTGACGCGAGCATCAATTGTTGCTTCCATGGCTCGAACACGGAGACAGCTTTGTCGTTGCTTCAAGGCTCCCTATCCGAGACATATTCTATCTTCTTCCTTGCTCCAGATTTTTAATCTGTCAATAGTCTTAAGTTACTTCACAATTTCTAATCACCATGTCTGTTACTTGGACCAAGTTTGCACACTCAAATGTTAAGTTCACATTTAGACAAATTCATTGTGCAAATTATGTGAAAGAATCTAGGCATCCAACATAGCACCTTAAGGCCATGGTGGAGATTGTGGAGTAGGCGCAAGACCTTTATAAACCCCTTTGGATGCCCTTATACAATCCATGAGGTATTGTGCATGTGTAACCCAAAACGGGGTTCAAACATGAACAGTAAATGCAGAGGGGTGACCTTTAAAGGCAGAGTTATGGATCTGAGAATGGGTTTACAAAAGGTTCTGATAACACGTAAAAGAGAAAATGACCAAAATGGTCCCCTAAGTTTAAAAGTTGATCCAACTTTGTCCTTCAAATTTCATATTGAGCATTAAATGTCCTCCAAGTTTGCATTTTTGGGTCATTTTTGGTCTCTAGCAAATAGAGTGTTAACTTTAACAGAAGAAAACTAGAAACATGCAACAAAATGCAGCCATTCTCCTTCATGTGCGGAAACATCTTTCTGCTATAGCAATTTTTGCCTCATATAACCCATCTATACAACAACAACAACCCAGTATAATCCCACTTAGTGGGGTCTGGGGAGGGTAGTGTGTACGCAGACCTTACCCCTACCCTGGGGTAGAGAGGCTGTTTCCAAATAGACCCCCGGCATCCTTCCCTCCAAGAACTTCCCACTTTGCTCTTGGGGAGACTCGAACTCACAACCTCTTGGTTGGAAGTGGAGGTTGTTTACCATCAGAGCAACCCCTCATATAACCCATCTATAACAGATGATAATGAATTAACAGCAAAATTTTGCTCTTCTTTAGGAAAATGCTCCAGCTTATCCCGTGCAGGGTTAACCTTTTCATCAGTATCGAAGCACATGCTAATCAACAATTTATTAGAGATTGGGTATTAATATATTTTATCATCTGCCAACAAGTAAACCAAGGTGCACATCTTTATACTTATTTCCTTCACATATATAAAGAGATAATCTTTCCCACTTTCTCAAACAACTTACCGGCATCGGGTCTTCTCACAAACACAAGCAGCCCATTAGCCACCTATTGCCCTTTCAGGCATACGAAACTTTTTTCCACCTATGCAAGAATGTTTTTCTTTTGTCCAAGTCTTCACCATTTCCCAAAGAGCATAGGCATTCCCACCTTCACTGCAGATTGTCTAACCAAGCAACTTTATTGCCCTTTCAGGCATACGAAACTTTTTTCCACCTATCCCCACTTGGAAAAGGAATCAAATTCTCCCCAGGGGAAGAGAGGCTCTTCGGGACTGACCATAAACTTTGCAGTTATAGCCAAACTCATTACCTCAAGGCTACACTTTAGTGATCCATCAACAACACTGCTGCTCTGCAACAGAGGCAATACACTCAAATTTCTGCCAATCTGCTTCTTTTATCCCCAAAGACTGCATTATTTTTCCTTCCATTTCAATTGATTCAGCGTTAGCTCTAAACCCAAAACCACTATGAACTGCAACATTATTCTCCAACTCCATTAAATAATAACAAACATTCTTCCGGGCTTCACAATAACAGGCTGTTTAGTTTGGATTCTGAAACTGATTTCTAGATAGTTGATTATTGCCTCATTAAACAATTGTCAGCTGTTTGCTGAAAAGTGATCCTTTCTCTTTGTACCAAACTCTAGTTATGAGCATGAAAACGACTAAATTCTGAAATAAATAAGGTAAATATACCCAAACTAAACATGCGAATATACCGAATAGTCATAAAGATCTATCTGAGGAGGTTAATTTTAAAGTCAATTATACCAATTTCAGAAAGACAAAAAGTAGCTTGAGTTACTAATGCAAATCCATTTTTTCTTTTCTTGGGTAAACATTTAAGAACCATGAAGTAATCAAATAGTTATGTTTAAAAGCCAATAAAGACAAGAAACTTAAGAGATAAGTATTTGTGCTATATACCTGGTCTTCACAAAGACAATATCACATGTCGGAGAATCTGTCCAAAAGAATCCAAGAATCCTTTCTGATTCAGACCTGCACTTGTGACTGAAAGTATCCCCACTCTCTCTGTTCTGGATATGAACCTCATGAGGGGATCGTTGTACAGCCAAAAGCTTTAAATCTAAAGAATATCGAATGGACAAAACTGGACCTTCGCCTATTAAATCAGAGGACGGAGTCACATTTGGATCAAATGGAGTTGTTTTCCAAGAAAAAACCTGCAAAAGGAGTGACCGCTATTTAGTTCAATGATAAGAGACAGCAAAGAAATATTGCAGCATCATTTGTCAAAACGTCAATGCTGACCATGTTTGGTTGAGTACAAATTTTGAGTTCATCTTTCCTTCTCGGCATTTTACCTGATCAGATGTGAGTACAATAAGCTGTTTCGTGCCATCATCATAAAAACTATTTCTTGCTCCTGGGATTTTGCTTCTTAAGGGTGGATGCTGGATATACACATGTGATAGAGCACCAGAACTACCAAAACCAGAAGGCTGAGAAGAAGATGCTTTTGTTGACATGTTTCACTTCCCCCTATGTAGAACTACTGACCTGAGAAACACCTAAACTATGCCGAACTGCAAATGAAAAAACAAATATAATGGTGCAACAAGTTATATGCTAAAACATTACAATTAAACGAACAATACTATCCTTCAAAAACAACTAAAACGTCAAACCTTTTCACGGATGATTTAATCTTTCAACAACAGCTGCTTACACACACATACTATTCAACTTTCAACACTTTCTTCTTAGCTGTTAAATAAACAAGGTAAACATCAGGCAAACGAAGGAATGACATACTACCCTGTGGTACACACTTTGAGAACTTTTCGTTATCAAATAATGATGGTGAGTTTGTCATACTACACTCTGCATGCAGCTCCTTAATTCAAGGAATTCTTTTAAACACATGTCACGTTCTACTTCTGGAACCTTTGCTGCAACACAACTGCCGTACACTTTCGCCTGTGTTTTATGAAGAGCAATAATAATAAGTTGTTAAAAGATCCTGATGCTTTCAATAGTCTTCAATCTCTGACAAAATGGTTATGGAAACAATTGAAACACAACAAGCAGGATCAGCTAGGTCTGGGGGCAGGTTTCATTTTAAGTAATAATCCGTCTCCTACATTATCCGTAAGTCATCAGGTCATAATTTAAAATACACACATAAAAAATCCCTCCTTCTCCTTCCACCCTTTCTGAAACTAGAGTTAATTCCAATTACCACAAGCCTCAATTGTCATGTAACAAAGTCTTGTAAGAGAGACCACCAAATATATCTTTTTTATGTCATAATTCTTTGAACTATCCTACTCATTACAAATCAAGTATACATGATCATATAAAACCAAAGAATATCAAGAAAACATAAAAATTCACCAAAGGACAAATAAAATTTAATTCTTCAGCTATATGTATAAAATATAAGAAAAAACAAACAATGAAAAGAAAGGATATCAAGAAAACATCAAATATTTACCATGGGACATAAAAAGTTTACTTCTTTAGCAATATGTATAAAATTTAAGAAAAAATAAACAAACAATGAAAAGAATAAAGGAAGTTAAGGGATACCCGTATTGGACAAACCTGAGCTGAACAATTCAACAATACTTTCTTGAAAATTGACGTAGTAGCAGCAGCAGCTGTTGGGTTCTTCTCTTTCATCATCACATGCCTAAAACACACACTTTCGGATCCTCAACAAACATTTCCTCAAATATTTCAAAAATTAACAAAATTAATGAATAAATTCACCTAAATCGTTGAAAATTAGTTAAGGCTGTTAAGCATCTGAATTGAAACTACTAGTAATTTAGTGCACTTTTTCTGACTCTTTTCTGCAAATTTCCGAGGTGAATTTCGAGAAAGGAAGCAGAAAGCTGAAGGTCTACCTAACAGTCTTCGCCTCATGTAGGCCCGATGCCAAATAGACTACGATTTGGCCCAAATTAGTCATGTTAAGGGGCGAAGGGCATAAATAGCCCTTTTTAGGAACCCTATTTAAAGAATAGCCGATATTTATAATTTTAAAGTTTAATTGCCTATGAATCAACTTTGGACATGCCGGTTTGAAGTTGAAAATAGCGAGTCTGAAGTTTTCAAGTTCAGTATTACGATTATGAATTTAAGATCCGCCAAAGCTTAGAAATTCAAAATCAAACCTTGAGCAGAGGTTTGAAGTTATAAGAGGAAAAATGAATGCTTTTACGTTCAGTCTAAAGTTTGTAAAAACTGACTAAACTTCAAAACAAAATTAAGAATTGAATATATTTAATCAGTATTTTAAAGGTAATTTTCTAGGCGTGCCTTGGAGCGAGGCGTACTAAAAACGCATTGAAGTATACTGGCGAGGTGTAAGTACCATAGGGCGTAAGCCTCGATATTCCAAGCGTTTGCCTAGGCATAAGTTCGTTCTCGGTGTTCATTTGGTGCATAAGCCCTTAGAACTTTTTCAAATTTGAGCTAAGATTGCTTAATATTTTTATTTTAACTTAAATATCCAAAAGTTAACTCTATTAATTTTCAAACTAAAAATCTCAAAAGCTAATTTTTTTTCTTTCTAATTGTTTATTTTAATTTCATAATTTACTAATGAATAACAAATACACATTAGACCTTTGTTTGCAAAATACAAAGAGTTTTGTCCTACAATTCTTACTTTGCTTTCATACTTGCATTTTGCTTCTTTATACTTCATTTTCCCTAAAAATATTTGTTATACTTTTTATTTTTTATTTTCAAGTTAATTTTTGTTTTTAGAATTTCTTTCAATATCTCTCTAGTCTGTCTATATCTATATCTATACTATATTAAAAGCACAAACCTCTATCGAAATATGATTTGATTTTTTACCCCTTTAGAATAGATTTTACATAGTATAAAATTATAACTATAAATTAATTATTTTTCTAATATTTAGGAATTTCAAATCAACTATAATATTGGTTATTAATACATTCCTTATTTGAAATTATGCAAAGTACCTAATATTTAGGAACCTCATTCACATAAGGAATTTATATCGTTAACTTTTTTTTAAAATCCTAATTAGACTATCTAAGACCATACGTGTGGATGAATTTTAATTAATAAAACAACAACAACAATAACAACAACAATAATAATAATAATTAGTTATAATTACATAACAATTAAAAATAACATCGATCAATTTATGAAAAACCACTAAAAATATTTAAGTGGCTGATATGATTCAAGTACATTAATGATTCTACAAACAAAAATTCAAAAAGTCAAATATCGAATTATTTTATTTTACTATTTGATAATACAACTTAGATAAAATTATAACCATAACTAATTACTTAAAATTGGATGAGCAAATACGAAGAATTTGAATTAACAAAAAATAATTATTTTCTTTAATATTAAGAACAAATAATTAAGCCTTTGAATTAACTAATTAACAAGAATCAATTTAATTATTTTTTGAATTCATCATATAAGTAAGATTATTTTCAAATTGACAAATCTCATAGGATACATAAATTTGTTATGATAAGAATAGCATTTGCATATGGCAAAATTGGTTATAATAGTATTAAGAGTCATTCGTAAAAATACAAACTTGAAACAATAGGAGGAAATAATAGAATACAAACTATATTCTGAATCAGTTGTCATTTATTATTATTATTATTATTATTATTATTATTATTATTATTATTATTATTATTATTATTATTATTATTAATATTATTGTCACGACCCAAAATCCATTAAAGGTTGTGATGGCACCGAACACCACTGTCAGACAAGCCAACACTAAATAGTTATTTAAATTCTCATTTTAATATTTCTGAAAACGTAAATTTTCTTCAATTTAATTAGTAACAATGAACTTTAAGGAATAATATTAACGTTTCCCAATTTCAATAGTAAATATCTCATAATCATCGCAGCCCCCGGTTGTCACGACTCAAAAACCAACCCGGTCGTGATGGCACCTATCATAAAACTAAGCCAGCCGACACATTTCCAAAGTAGTGCAACATTTCGTTAAATTTAAATAACAGCCTTTTTCAACTAAAATTTCCATAAAGATATAAAGTCAAGAACCAAAATGCGAAAAATAAAAGCACGACCTCAGGTGTCACTAAGTCATGAGCAATACTATAATTGTTCCGAAACATAACAAGATCAAAATAGTCTAAAAGTAGCCAAAGTATACTAGAAGGAAGATAAAGAAGGAGAAAGGCGGAACTGCGATCGCTAGGCAACTACCTTGCTATCTCCGGTGATAATCTGCGACTGGAATAGTCAACAGTCACTACCGTGACCTGAGATACCTGGATCTGCACACAAGGTGCAGGGGTAACGTGAGTACACCAACTCAGTAAGCAACAAGTCCAAACTATGGACGGATAGGTAGTGACGAACTAAACCTCAACAATTATAACATATTTAAATTGTACAGTAAAGTAGGCATGCTGGCAATTCAATTATTCAACTCAACAGTAAAGCAAAATACCAATCCGAACAATGTGAAGTATAAAGCTCAGCAAATCTCTACATATCAGTGCCAAAAATGTATGAAAATGCATCGTGTGCTCCCACTCTCAAGTGCTCAACCACTCGGTACCGCATATAGCCATCTGGCCCAGGGAAATCCATCTCGGAATATATACAACACTGACTTCAAGTCAACCAGTATTGAGGAACAAGGGTAATCCAACCCTGAGGAGAAATCCATCTCCAGGTATCAATACTTCAGACAAATTTGTGTCCAAGGAAATCCATCCCTCAATAATGTCATCCACGCTCACTGGGGGTGTGTAGACTCTGGAGGGGCTCATTTCAGCCCAAGCGCTATAACAAGCCAATGAAGGCATAATCAATAATCTGTTGCGGCGTGCAGCCCGATCCCATAACTGTCACTCATATTCAGGCTCTCGGCCTCACTCAGTCATCGCTCTCCAGTCTCACACACGAGGGCTCACAATGCTGTGAAATTAGCCCGAAACAATGATATAATGTGCCAAATAACAACAACCGAGACTGAGACATATTATGATATGCATGAACAAGATTGAGTACAGAATATCAAAGAAACTAATGGGATGACAGCAAGAAACGACCACTCGGGTCTCAACAGTATTGACGTGAAGCCCTAATATGATAATTAGCATGATTTACAGTTCATTTCCTTAATCATATAATCATAACACAGATATCAATAAGAAAGAGTAACTAAGCGGTGCCATGGAATAAACCAGGCCATAATCCTCACGGTGCACGCCCACACGCCCGTCATTTGGCATTTGCGTCACCCCAATATAACACATAGTTCGGGGTTTCGTACCCTCAGAACCAAGTTTAGAAGCGTTACTTACCTCAAACCAAGCCAAATCCTACTTCGCTACGCCTTTGCCTCTTGAATCGGCCTCCAAACATCCCGAATCTAACCAAAACAATGCAACGCAATCAATATAGGCCAAAGAATCAATTCCAAACAAAAAACTATCAATTCAAACCAAAATCCCGAAATTCACCCAAACCCGGCCCTCGAGCTCAAGTCTCGGAATCCGACAAAAATTGCAAAACAAGAAACTTCTTCCACTCACGAGTCCATTCATACAAGATTTATCAAAATTCGACTCCATTTGATTCCTCAAACCCTCATTCAAAACTCTCCAAAATCCCAAGCTCTAACCCATCATTTCACCCTTAATCACCACTAATTACATGATTAAACCACAGAAAACTACAATAATAACGAGTATTAGTGCTCAAATTACTCACCTTAGTGAAAATCCCCTTGAATCTCTCTTCAAACTGCTCCCAAAAGCTCCAAATCTGGATAAAAATAGTGAAGAATGACCAAAATTCGTGAAGGGTCCTTTTTATACATTCTGCCCAGCACTTCCGCATCTGCGGCCAAATTCACGCACCTGCGGGACAAACACCGCATCTGCGCATTTTACTTAAATTCCCAGTTTTCGCACTTGCGCCTCAGGCCTCACACCTACGGGCTCGCAGATGCGGTCCAACTTCCGCTCATGTAGTCCTTCTCCGCTTTTGCGGCCTAGTTCCGCTTCTGCGGACCTTGAACCTGCGGTCCCCAATCCGTAGTTGTGAAAATGACAGAAGCAACAACTTCAGCTGCTCAAACCAATTTCCAACCATTCCGTTAACCATCCGAATTCATCCCGAGGCCCTCGGGACCTCAACAAAAAATACCAACAAGTCATATACCACTATTCAAACTTATTCGAACCTTCGGAACAATCCAAACAACATCAAAACACCAAATCACGCTCGGATTCAAGCCTAAGAACCTCTAAACTTCCGAATTTTGCAAACGATGCCGAAACCTATCAAACCTCATCCGAATGACCTGAAATTTTGCACACACGTCAAAAATGACACTACGGACCTACTCAAATTTCCAGAATTATATTTCGACCCCGATATCAAAATTTTCACTACCGACCGAGAACTCCAATTTCGCCAATTCAAGCCTTAATCTACCACGGACCTCTAAATTACATTCCGAACACGCTCCTAAGTCCAAAATCACCTAACAGAGCTAACCGAACTGTTAGAATTCACATCCAAGATCATCTACTCATAAGTCAACATCCGGTTGACTTTTCCAACTTAACTTCAAAATAGGAAACTAAGTGTCTTATTCCTCTCCAAAACCACTACGAATCCGAAACCAACTCGATACCACAAAATATAGCTGATCAGCATATAAAGAAGCATAAATGGGGAAAACGGGGCTATAACTCATGAAACGATCGGCCGGGTCGTTACATCCTCCCCCTCTTAAACAAATGTTCGTCCTCGAACAAGTCTAGGTACATACCTGAAATATCAAATAGGTGTGGATATCTTCTCAGCATCTTCTGCTCGGTCTCCC